GTAGGTAGGTAGAGCAGTAGAAGGTAGATCAATAGATGAAAGAGAGAGAGAATAAGCAGGCAATTCGATGTGTGCTCACAAGAAATTTCATTTCTTGGTTTTTATATTGGTTCATTAAACCTGAAAGATCAGGACATCTTGCTCAAAATTTCCCACCCAAGATCTCAGCTGCTTCTTCCTCCCCTCCTACAAGGATAGACTCAAAGCTAGGGGTCATGGTTTCTCTGTAGAAATCACAAACATCATCTGTTCATATTTTTACTCTGAATCCTGAACTACACTTCAGTTCCTTTATCTCTTGCTTAGCTGGGAATAGACAAAAATCCATAGGGATTTTTGTATGGAAGACTTTTTACTGAGAGAGAATCACTGACAGATCTTTTTTACTTTTCTTCTGGCAGTTTTGGTGTACCAGAGACACTGCCTTGCGGTACAAGTTTTGTGAAGTCCATAATGCTTCATTATCTCAGGCAGCTGCGTCTTCGCTGTAACTGCTTTCATTTTCTGAGTAGCTCATGTAAATAGGAAGATCCTGCTTTGCATAAGCATGTTGATTTATATGAATGCTATTTTGATCTCAAATTGATTGAGGACTAAAAAGAAAAGCTAAGAAAAATAGTAACACATTATGAAGGTCTCCTATCAAAGACAAAGGATTTTCCAAGGAGTGATGGACACTTTTGTAATTGCTCAGTTTTTTTTTAAGAGAGTTTATATAAAAAAAATACAGCAAAACACTATCCTACTGGGGCTCCAGAGTTGAAAATACCATGGATCAAATCACATTTTGGAAATGGGACTCCATCTAGAAAAAGCTAACATAATGGAGGAAGGTATGATGCTTAGCTCTATTTGCAAACGCCAGCATCAAAAAGCGTTAATAGTATTTATGATTCTACATCCAAGTAAAAACGTAAAGATAAGTTAATGTTTGTAACCCAGAGCCAGAACTATGCTAGGCACTTACTATAAATTATCTCTTACTTTATCTCATTTTCTTTTTAACACCCGTGCCTGCACTACTGCTATGTCCTATTCGTGTTCAGCAATTAATTGACGACTTGCTGAACTTTTATTACACCTAAACTGTATTTGAACACTTAATTGTGCTCATGCAGAATCTGTACATAGACCAAGAGGTGATTGTTTGAACAGAACAAGGGGATACTGTGTTGTTTAAAACAGGAAGTGTGTGTCAGGGTTGTATCCTTTCACCATACCTATTCAATCTGTATGCTGAGCAAATAATCCAAGAAGCTGGACTGTATGAAGAAGAACACAGCATCAGGATTGGAGGAAGACTCATTAACAACCTATGATATGCAGATGACACAACATCGCTTGCTGAAAATGAAGAGGACTCAAAGCACTTCCTGATGAAGATCAAAGACTAGAGCTTCAGTCTGTATTACACCTCAAAATAAAACAAAAATCTTCACAACTGGATCAATAAACAACATCACAATAAATGGAGAAAATACTGAAGTTTAGTGAGTACCATCTGGGGTCTTAAAAGTTTGCAGGCAGTCATCTAAGATATAACTATTGGTCTGTACTCATCTGGAACAAAAGAGGATGAAGGAAACCAAGGACTCAAAGAAGAAAGTAGTCCACAGGATCAATAGCTCACATGAACCACAGCCTCATCTACCTAAGACCTGAAGAACTAGGTGGTGCCCAGCTACCACTACCAACCGTTCTGACAAGGAACACAGTAGAAGGTCCCGGACAGAAAGGGAGAAAAATGTAGAACAAAACTGAAATTTCTAAAAAGGCCAGACTTACTGGACCAATAGAGACTGGAGGAACCCCTGAGTCTATCACCCTAGGACATCCTTTGAACTTGGAACTAAAACCACTCCCGGTGGTCACCTTTCATCCGAACAATAGATTGGCTCATAAAATAAACAATATCACCCATGAGGACTGTACTCCCTTAAATAATCAACTATATGAGACAAAACAATCAAAATTTACTCTAAAACAAAGATGAGAAGATAAAGAGGGGCAAGGAAGCTAGATTAATGGAAACAGAACGAACAGAATGGAAATAATGAGAATGTTGACATGTTGTGGAAAATGGCACCAATATCATGGAACAATTTGTATAAAAATTGTTAAATGGGAATGGAATTTGCTGTGTAAACTTTTACCTAAAAGACAATAAGATAGTTTTATATATATATATATAATATATATGCCCTTAAGCCACCTACTGAATCCCTGCTCTTGGCAAAATAATTTGATGTTGATATTTGCACCTTATTTTGTATCCCTCTCCCAATAATATTTCTTTTCAAACCTTGTCAAAAAAAAAAAAACAAAAAACCATTGTCATCAAAGTTGGTTCCAACTCACAGCAACCCTATAGTACAGAGTAGAACTGCCCCATAGGGTTTCCAAGGGGTGGCTGGTAGATTTGAACTGCCAATCTTTTGGTTAGCAGCGAAGCTCTTTACCACTGTGCCACCAGGGTTCCAAACCTTGTCCCCTGCCCCTGCACCCCATAAAGCTATTTGCAGTAAAGGAGGATGGTTTGGGGCAGACTGAGGAGCCAGGGCCCTCCTCATCAGCCCTGAAACCTCACCTCCTCCTCCACAACTGCCCGCACCTACCCTTCGAAGAGACGGGCCTTGGTTGTTTCAGAGGGGACTACAAGACGAGCTGCAGTGTAGTCAGACCTGAGCTCTAGTCCCAGGAAGTCTAGCCCCCCCACTGCTAAGACAGTTTTCTGCTCCTTGCTTCTGTCTATCCTTAAAATGGAGTCCCTGAGTGGCACAGAAGCACAGACATTTACGTGCTTGGAGACGAACTGAAAAACTGGTGGTTGGAACTCACCCAGAGGCACCATGGGAAGAGGGGCTTGGCGATCTGCTTCAGAAAGGTCACAACCATAAAAACCTTACGGAGCACAGTTCTGCTCTGCACACACAGGGTCACTATGAGTCGGAATCGACCTGATGGCAACCTGTACTGGTATCCTTCAAATAAGCCTCCGTCGCCTGAGACAATCTGAGCACATCTATCCATTCTAGCAACCTAAGAAACAAACCAAACCCGTTGCCGTCGAGTTGATTCCGACTCACAGCGACCCCACAGGACAGAGTAGAACGGCCCATAGAGTTTCCAAGGGGCGGCTGGTGGATTCCAACTGTTGACATTTTGGTGAGCAGCCGAGCTCTTAACCACTGCGCAACCTAAGACACCCTACCTAATCCAGAAATACAGGTATCTGTCTATGGACAAGTTATTTTATTTTCATGATGCTGAGTATCTCATTGATGTATATAGATGACATACCGAGTCAAAAGCACAGTTTACTGGAAAGACCGCTGGAAAGCTGAATTCTAGTTTCCGCTGCTGTCACTTCTGTCCCCTTCGACAAGATAGTGCAATTTTTGGAGCCTCGATTTCCTCAACCGTAAAACCAAAAACCAAACTCGTTGCTGTCGAGTCCATTCGGACTCATAGCGACCCTGTAGAACTATAATCCATTCTCCACCTACGTCACAAGGTTGTGTTAGGGGGACTAAGTAAGCTAACATATGTTAACGAGTTTTGTAAACTGTAGAGCTTATACAAATGTGAGCGATTATTATGCAAATGATTGAGAAATAGATCTAAGCTGCTAAAAAAAGCCAGTTCTGCTATGTAACTACATTAGTTTTCTCCCTTAAAAAACGGGGCTTCTGGCAATTCTATCACCAAGGGGCTGAGATTTGCATTTGGCAGCAATCCGAGGGTAATTCAACATCAGAAATTTGACTTTCACAAAAGAATCCACCAAAAATGTATGGAAACAGTGATAGAGGATGGCCTAATACTCTCTCTACTGTTCCTTCTGGAGAAGGTAATACCAATGCAAAACCAAAATAAGCCCAAGACTAAACTCCCCCTGCAAAGTATTCTCTGACAGATTTTTTTTTCTCTAAATATCTCCTATTTTGGAATGTTCTGTGTGACGTTTTCACACTCTGCATACCTGGAACGTGTGTACGAAAGGATCAAACAAGATTTTCAGTCTTGTCTTTAAAAGCGCAACGCACATTTTAAAAGAAAGATATTGTAGAAGACACTAAATGAGAAAAAATTCCTCAAGTTAGAGTTACACCACTTGAAAGCTTACTAAGGAATACTCCCTCTCCTGAACACGCAGAGCCAACCCCCAGTGCCACTGAGTCAATTCTGACTCATAGTGACCCTACAGGACAGAGTGGAACTGCCCCATGGGGTTTCCAAGGCTGTAATCTTTATGGAAGCAGTTTGCCACATCTTCCTCCCATGACGTGGCTGGTGGGTTTGAACTGCTGACCTTTCTGTTAGCAGCCGAGTGTTTAACCGCTGCGCCACCAGGACTCCCTAAACATGCAAACAGTCTCCTTGTATTGCCATTTAGATCTATCATTCTGATTGATCACTGTGTAGTTGGCTATTATTGGGCCTAATTTAACCCTATACACTCACACATCCATCTACCCTGTCTATTGCACCTGACATTCTACAAATTACTTACTCATGCAAATGGCAACCTGAGGCAACCTTTTAGGATATTCGTGTTTAATTATACAAATGGTGCTTGATAAATAAGATTATACATCCTTCCATATGTTTATTTCCTCCTTGATGAAAGGAAAATTTAATTTTCATGCAGATTTGGTCGGGACAGTGTTTAATAATTGCTGAGTTTTATGTAGTCTGCAGATCCGTCCAGTTTGGAGAAGCTGACAAGATCATTCCACTTCCCACCCAGAGAGGAGCAGTTTTTAATTAGGCTCTATCAGCCTGCTGAATTCTGAAGTCAGGGCTCCTAAACAACCTCCTTTGTGTTCATGTGGTCAGAGACAAAAAAGAGGAAGAGGCTTCTCTTCTTTGTGCTTACAAAGCTGCAAGATCAGAGTGTATCTCGTTCTGTTGTGCTTAGCTGCCTTTTATTGCCAACCTTGTCTTTCTTCCTGAGGGTGTCTTGTTTTGACCTGGGTCTTGTTGATTTCTCTTTGGAGGTCTGGGCAGTGAATTCAGCAGGAAAAGCACCCAGTAGCTGGACATGGTGTCGAACCGGGCCTGCCCCTCCTGAAGGTCTCCAAGTTCCCAAGTTCCATGAAGTCTCCTCTACCCAAGCAGTGGTCACCATCAGCGCCCCTGTGAAACCCAACGGGGTCATCAGTCTCTACAGGCTATTCTCCAACACCACCAGCGGGGCCGAGACGGTGGTGAGCTGTAGACTTCTCTGAACTAAACATCCAGGATTGTTTTGTTTTCTTAGATCATTACAGCAGTACCCTTGCTTTTTCTTCTCCTTGATCTATCTTATCCTTCTGTTTTTCAAATGCCCTCTGGTGGACTAAGTAACACAAACAGGGCCGGAGTAAGGTATGTGAGGGCCCTGAACACTGGTAATCCGCGGTGCCCCCTCCTCTGCTCACTCATGCATTTGAACGAGATATGTGAGTTTTATGTATGTATGTGTGTGTGTCTTAGCTATTCATGATGTAATTTTTTAATAATAATATCTTCATATTTCTATAATTTTTAAATAATTTTTATAATTTTTTAATAATAATATTAGCGATTGAACAAACAAGTGGTGTGTGCCACTTTAGCAGAATGAGATGAACTGGATCGTAACATTTTTAGTGTGCTCAGAGTACTAAGATTTTTACTATATACTACATTTTCTACAAAAAGAATGTTCCACATATTCTACAACAAAGAAAATGAGTCAGTGAACTTAGTTGTTTCAACAATTCAATGTAAAATTTGGTTGATCTCCCACAGTAAAAAACTGACTTTCACCAGTTTTGCTTTAAACAGCTCATACTTCTATTTTGATGCTTGTTTTGTAATAGATAAATGCTATAATTATAAATAACAAATGAAAAGATGTCATAAAAGAAAATTTAATGATCAAAAAACAAGTATTACAACAAATCACTGTAGTTTTAGATCGATCTTTCATCTCTAACATGTTATAATTAAAAACATTTCTTTCTGTTCTTTACTCTTTCTATTCTTTGCACTCAAATTCTTCAGTGATTTCATCACAATTAAGCTGCCAAACAATCTTCACTTCCACACATAATAAGGATAATGTGTTGAGTCTTTCTTGAATCATTATTGTGCACTGGCTTTTCCTTGTGTTCTGTCTGCTTGGCGTCTATAGGCCTTTGCTTTGGACCACTGGTGCCCGTGTTTTGTGGGTGCCCTAAGCATGTGCTTTCCTTGCACATTGGGTAGTCCGTCCCTAAACACAAGGATGTCTCTGGGAAGAAAAAGTGAGCTGTTAGGAAAATGTACAGAAAATGCGTAAACACTCCCGGAAAGAAATGCTGAAGTAGTACAGTATTAAAAACTCCACAAATGTAAGAAATCTAAGACATTAGAGGTCATCAAATTAATTTAATTGGAAAATGTATGTCGAGCACTTTAGCATAGTCATTGCATGTCATAAGGAGTCAATAGGTTGTCACTGGTGGTGGTGTAAATGTTAAAATGAAACAGGAAGAACAGAGCAACTATAAGGAGTCAATAGGTTGTCACTGGTGGTGGTGTAAATGTTAAAATGAAACAGGAAGAACAGAGCAACTATCCTCCGAATCCCCATTTTGGCATGCAAACATCTCCGTTGACACATTGAAAACTCAGTCTTTCCTTTGGTGAATTCCAGAAAGTTTTAATCCCTTGGAAGGGTTCATTCAGTAAAGCTCCAGCTGCATTGTTGGTTTGTTGACATGTTTGGGGAACAACAGGGACAGGTGACAAATTTTTCAGGGAAATCAGCTCTCACACTGTGTGTTAGCCAAGCCACGTGCTGCAAAGGGTACTAAGGATCAACTAGAGCAGTTCCCTTCTGTTGTACCTGGGGTTGCTATGAGCAGGAACCAATTCAGCCACACCTAACAACAACAGACCAGTTCCTGCATTATTCAAATAGACAAAGACCCAGTGGGATGAAGGTAACACAGCTATGTTACTCTCATGTTTCTCATGAAGAAGTGGAGAGTATAATGCTTTGTTCCCACAAACCTCATAGAGAGATTGTGCAGACCCACGTATTACATTATCAATTATTTAGACCAATTCAGGGAACAGTTCGGCCAAGTGTGGAGAAACCCTCTGAGACCAGAGTGCCAAGTACCGAATCACAATGTTAAGAGATAACTCACACACAGAAGTCTTGTATTGAATGTTAAAGGGATATTAGCATACATTCTACAGGGCTTTGTATTCAATAAATATAGATGATGTAAATATAATCAACTCTTGATTATCTATGCTTACAAAATGATAATATTAATAAACTAAAATAATTTATATTTGGAGTGCACATATACTTTTTTTTTTTTAGCAACAGATAGCTCTTGTATGGTACATCAATGTGAAAGTTCATTTCCAATTTCTGGATGCTTTTGTTCTAGAGAGTACTTACTAAAACCACAACAAGGTCAAAAGTTTGCCCCCAATAAAGCACAAAGTTTATAATCCAAAAAAGATGGCTGAGAGAAGACTATAATATTTAGTATAAACCCAGACCTTCAGAGAAACAGATGAACTGTCAAGCTCTTAACCATCTGTACCCAACTCTACCATGAACCTGAGGGTGTTTTTGACCCAGATATTACATACAAGTAACCAATGGCAGAATGTGGACCTTGGTGAATGTTGACTAGGAATAGAACTCAAATACAGACTTTTCTTAAGAAGGCAACATTTTGAGGGTCATAGAATTTGATCACTATTGGATATTCCATGCCATTTTCTGGTATCTTTCTATGGTAATAGACAAGGGATTATATTGTGCCTTGTGACTTCGCTTCTGTTATCTCAAACATCTATTTAACTGTTACATTATTACTTTTTTTGTGTTTGAATTGTGTCTTTCCACCTGGATTGGTAACTCCTTGAGGTGAATACCATGCTAAGTGCGATGTTTCATCTCTCAGAGCACCCTGCAGAGCACTCTATTCATAGCAGGTGGGCTGCTTGTTAAGCAGTTACCCATTTTCTCTAATTCTTTCCTCATCTGGTCTTCTTCCTCCTGCTACAGCTGTCTGAAAGCACGGCCACCCAGCAGACCCTGCACGGCTTACAGCCCTTCACCACCTACTCCATCGGCGTGGAGGTCTGCACCTGCTTCAACTGTTGCAGCAAAGGACCAACAGCTGACCTGAGGACTCAGCCTGCTTCACCCTCAGGACTTCCCTCTCCTCAAATCCAGACACTGGCCTCGAGGACGGCTTCCTTCCAGTGGAGTCCCCCCCTGTCCCCTAATGGTGTCATTCAAAGGTAGTGGGCCAGCAGAGGATGAAGAAACCAAAGCAACACGGGCAGACAGACAGTTACACAGCAATACACAGGGAGGGTTTGCCCACTGACCCACTGCCACAGCAAAGCAGACAAGCTGCTCTGAGTGCTAGTGTCGCCTGCTAAGCGTTTAAATCCTAAAATCAACCAGTGACAGAAAGGTGGACCACAAAATCACCTTTAAGTAGGAAATGCAATGCATTTGTACTCATTGAAAGAATATTCTCCTCCTTACGAGTCTCTGGAATCCTTCATGCTTTAGGCCTTAGCTGGAAAATAAGAAACTGCTGTTGTTAGGTCAGGTTTCCCTGAGTACTGCAAGTGGTTAAGTGGTAGGCTACCAAAGGAAAGGTTGGTGGTTCGAGCCTACCCAGAGGTGAGTCGGAAGACAAGGCCTTGGTGCTCCGCTCCCGACAGTTCCCAGCCGTGGAAACCATGCAGTTCTACTTTATACATGAGTTGCCATGAGTCACTGACTCAGCAACTGGCTTTTTTTTTTTTGGTTGTTAAGCCAGAATTTCTTTGATCTAGTTTAAAATGTTTTAATGAGCTACTATTTGAAAGATCAAAGAAGTTATGTCTTTATTCTAAACGGAAGAGAACGATTGTATCACCGTCCTCTTAAAAGACAGAGGTCTCTCGCTACCGACAAGGATTACAGTTGCTGGGTGGACAGCCACTGGTCTATACACGGTGGCTTGTCTTAGCATTTCTCCAGTAACATCTACTGCTCATTCCCAACAGCGTTAAATAAAGTGTTTCCGAGAGCAGTTTCCCACAAATGGAGATCTTAAGGAGCTTGTAGTTCAGTGAAAACAAAATGTCTCCGTACAAAATATAACCACTTTTAAAACAGAAAGTTAAACTGATTCCATTGTTTTCTCTTTACATGTCCATTCTCATTCTAGCTATGAGCTCCACCTCTCCGTGGTTTGCCCTCTGCACGCATCCCTGCCCTGCACTCCCAGCCAAGCGGAGACCAAGTACATGGGGCCAGGGCGGCAAGCCAGCCTTGGGGGCCTCCAGCCTTACACCACCTACAGGCTGAGAGTGGCCGCGCACAATGAGGTGGGCAGCACGGCTTCCGAATGGATCAGCTTCACCACCCACAGAGAATGTGAGTAGAGGGGGCTGCCTCCATGAGCCAGGGAAGTCTGAGGGCCGTCAGGAGAGGCTGGTCCCAAGGCATAGGGGCAACACTGTTTTCAAAAGATTGAGCATTCTGTTACTGTGACGGCAACTTGGACATCAGTGAAGACTACAACTGAAGAAAAATGCTATCAGATTTATCAACATGGAGGCCAAGGGTGGATTAAATAAGATCTTTCATGAGCGCTGGGGTTACAAGCAGGTTAGAAGACTAACAGTGAGTGGTCCCTGGTGATAGAAACGATTAACGTGGTTGGCTGCTAACCAAGATTAGAGGTTAGAATCCACCCAGGGATGCGTGGAAAGAAAGTCCTGGCAATCTACTTCCCAAAAATCAGCCACTGAAAACCCTATGGAGCACAGTCCTACTCTGACACACATGGGGTCACCATGAGTTGGAATTGACTCAACAGCAACTGGTAAACAGTGAACAGGGGTAGATTAACCAGTAAGCTAGGTTTGCACGGGCTTACATTAAGCAAGGTACGCATGGGCTCACTTGTGCTTACTTACTAACTTTTGATAACATAGCAGACATGCACACCACGCCCTTGTTGTTGTAAAAAAAAGCAAGTGGAATTGTGCACTACAGATTAGTAAGTAAGCACAAGTAAACCTGTGCGTACCTTGCTTCTTGGATAATCCACCCCTGACAGTGAATGAGAAGAAAGAAATGGATAAACATTTGTAGACCATTCTTCAAAGAAATTTAGCCATTTCTTTTCTTTTCCAATTACGTGGCATAATCTCCCGCACTTCCAGAAAGCACTGAGATGTGGCACTGTCAGGAATAGCAAAAGGTCAGTTGAGTGCAGAAAAGGGCAATTATCTAATTAATTTGGTACCTCCTTATATTTTTATAAAATAACTTCTTTTCAGATTGTAAAAGGTATATATGTTTATTCTTATAATGGTAAATACAAGAAGTATTAAAAATAAGTGCTTATAATCAGAACTGGCTACATGTTTGAGGGACCCAGTGTAAAATGAAAATATGGGGTTCCTTGTTCAAAAATCATTAAGAATTTCGAGACGGCGATAGCAGAGCATCAAATTAAGGACGAGCCTCTTCAAAGTGCAGGGTGCTATGCAGCTGCATAGGTCACAGGAACGTGAAGCCTGTCCTGTTTATAATCCCACCACCCAGATCCAACCACTACTAATATTTCGGCATAATGTCTTCCTTTAATCCTTTCAATGCGTGGTATTTGTTACATAGCTGAGATAATACTGTAGTGAAAATGTCATACTCTGCTTCTTAGGCTTGGCATTGTATCGTTAGCATTTCTCCGTGGCATTAAAAACTCTTCAGCCACCAAGTGTAATGGCTGTATAACATTCCATCATATGGTTTTTTAGAGAATTCAGTTGTTTCTAAAATTTCCGTTTTATAAATAATGGTGATGAGAAAAATCTATCCGAACAAATCTTTGTCTGAATATCTGATTGTCTTCTTAAATTTCAGCAAATGGAATTTACTGCTTCAAGTATTTGACTATTTTAAGTCTTTGGATGCTTATTGAAAATTTGCTTTCCAGAAAGGTTATATCAAATTACAGTCTTACCTTCAGTGTTCAGCCTTGAGTAGTATAGTATATCTATTTTAAAAGTAAAAATTACACATTCATTAAAGTCAAATCCTCATGCAAGTATCTTAAAGTCTCTAGGCAACAACATGGCAGGATAATAGTAAGAAGTCACCCTTATAGACGAGTCCTAGTGGAGCAACAGTTAAGCACTTAGCTGCTAACTGAAAGGGTGGCAGTTCAAACCCACCCATCGGCTCTGAGGGAGAAAGACCTGGCAATCTGCACCCATAAAAATTACAGCCAAAGCCCCCAGACACCCTTTTAACTCAGTACTGAAGTTACTCCTGAGGTTCACCCTTCAGCCAAAGATTAGACAGGCACTAAAACAAAACAAAACTAAATTTGCACACCAGCCCAGGGACAAGGACTAGAAGGCAGATGGAGACTGGAAAGCTGGTAATGGGGAACCCAAGGTCGAGAAGCAAGAGTGTTGACATGTCGGGGGGGTTGTTAACCAATGTCATAAAACAATATGTGCATTAATTGTTTAATGAGAAAAGAATTTGCTCTGTAAACCTTCATCTAAAGCACAAGAAAAAAAAATTACTGCCAAAAAACCCTACGGGCCAGTTCTACTCTGCCACGCAGGGTCACTAAGAATCAAAATCGATCTGACAGCACCTAACAACAACACCTTTGTAGAGGACTTGGTCCCAGCACTGTGTAAGCATTTTACAAACAATCCTCACAGCAAAAAAAGTGGGAACTATTATCCCATTTATAGACGGGTAAACGGAGGCAGGACTACGGACTGTGCACTATGATTCCAGGATACCACCCACTGACATGAACTCATGCTCCTGGATTTATACAGCGAGGTGGCCCTGGGTTATGACCGGAGCTTGGGTCGCTTGGCCAAGGTTCCACATCTAGTGAGTGAAAGTGTTGCTCTAAGCTGATGGTCACCAAGGCCAGCTGCACCCTGAGCACTGCTGTGTCTCGCTGGTCAAGTGCTTCCATTTCTCCATAATAAAGACTTGAAACCTGCTCTCCCCTCCTCAGACTTCTCATCTTTTCTCCTGCTCACCCACAAGCATCCTCACCCACCTGCCCCCTCCTTCTCTGCAGTACTCTTTGCATGGTGATCCACCAAGGAAGGAGGAGTCATGAGTCAACAATTTGCTCCTTTTCCCACCATGGCAAATCCACCTGCAGCATTTGCGCTGTTACTATCAGCAACAGGAAGCGGTGGTCCTCGCACCTGAGATAAACCTGCCTCCTATACTACGGGTGACCTCCCCTCAGTTTTCTCAGGAATCCTTCATTGCTGATCATCCCTTGTTGTGGTTAGCTGCTAAAGAGTTGGCCCTGACAGATGGCAATCCCATGCACAGCGGGATCCCACATTGTGATCTATAGGGTGTTCATTGACTGATTTTCAGAAGTAGATCTCCAGGCCTTTCTTCCTAGTCTTCTTAGTCTGGAAGCTCTGCTGAAACCTGTTCAGCATCATAGCAACATGCAAGCCTCCACTGACAGGTGGTGGCTGTGCGTGAGGTGCTTTGGCTGGGAATTGAACCTGGGTCTCCTACATGGAAGGCGAGAATTCTACCATTGAACCACCACTGCCCTCAAGCATCTTTTATCTCTTCTTAATCTTCAATGTATCCTTTCAAGTAGATTTTTCCCATTTGGATTCAAATTTACTTATATCTCTCTAATGATAGAACAAAGTCCACTTCCTCTTCCAATTATTCCCCCCTCCTCCCTCTCACAGCAAAACTTCTCTGAAGAACAGTCTATGAGTGCTTTGCCCATTTGCTCTCTACCCACTTCCTCTTTAACTTCCTCCAAGCTAGTTCCCCAAGCTCTGGTGGTGCAGTGATTAAATATTCATCTGCTAACCAGAAGGTTGGCTGTTGGAATCCACCAGCGGCTCCTTGGAAACCCTCTGGGGCAGTTCTACTCTGTCCTATCAGGTCGCTCTGTGTCGGAATCGACTCGACAGCAACGGGTTTGGTTTGTTTGTTTTCAAAATTAGTTTTCACTCTATCGCTGCATGAAATTCTCTTCCTAAGTTCGTGCTTGACCCCCATATTGATAAATCCAACGGCCATTTTTCTCTAGTAGTTATCTTATCAGTAATATTCAATACAGCTGGACCCTCGATCCATTTTTTAAAAAAAAGTCACTTCCCTTAGTTTTCCTTACAAGCCTCTTCTGGTTACCCTTCCACCTTTCCGGGTCTTCATTTTCGTCAGCCTTGTTGGTGGGTTTTCTACTGGCCGGTTCCTCAAGTCTCTGTCCTAAGCTTTCTCTCCCCTCCTTGTCCCTCCTCTTCCCTCCCTTCCTGTTCCCTCTTCCAACCTTTCCTCTTCCCTCTTCTGGTGAATTCATGGGATCCAAGGCTTCAATTACAAAGGCTGATTCCTAAATGGTCACCTCCTCCCCACGTCCTCTGCTGTTCTTTGAGCTTTGTAAGCAGCTTAAATGTGACATCTTTCCCCTTAAACCTGCGCCTCCTTTAGTCCTTACTTTCTCACCTTTATCTCCAGCTCTCGGCACAAGGACTTAGACACCCAACAATGTTGTTTAATGAGTGCGTGAGGACATCTAAACCTTCTCACATTTATTGTAGTCGCCACTCAATCAGCATTTCGGGGGGACCCATGCTATAATCAAATCAAAGTGTAACGGTTCTTAACGATGCCTACGTCTAATTTTGTAACTTCCTTTGCCTTTTTGCCTATTACTCCCAGGTTCCCACTTCACAAACACAAAAGGAACTGTGAGACACACATTTATTCCTTAGCTGGAAGTAGAGTAAAACTGATTTAGACTTGCTCATAATAAAAAATGCCACTATATACAAGGAGTGGGCAAAGCATAATCATCATCCTTCTTAGGAAGAAAAGCAATTACTCTTCACGGCTGTTGTTGGTGTTGTTAGGTACCGTCCAGTCGGTTCCGACTCACAGCGACCCCATGTACAACAGAACGAAACACTGCCCGGTCCTGCGCCATCCTCCCAATCATGCTTATGCTTGAGCCCATTGTTGCAGCCACTGTGTCAGTCCATCTCCTTGAGCGCCTTCCTCTTTTTTGCTGAGGAAATGCACCCATAAAAGGAGCTCTGTGGCTCAGTGGTTAAAGTGTTTGGCTGCTAACCGAATGGTCGGAGGTTTGAACCCACCAGCTACTATGGGGAGAAAGATATGGCAGTCTGTTTCTGTAAAGATTTACAGCCTTAGAAACCCTATGGGGCACTTCTACTCTGTCCTGTGGGGTCGCTATGAGTCGGAGTCAACTCAATGGCACGCAACAGCAACATACGCCTGTAAGCCTGTCTCATGATTTTAGTAATCACTCCAGTCTTTCGCGCTTATTGGCCAGGAGGCCTGGCCAGAACCTGGCCAGAACAGACACCTGAAGTTTTCAGTGTTATAGCCAAATCTCTCTTTAGTCATGAAGCGTAGCTCCTAACAGATACTGTATCATTTTCCTGTGCTGAAAGAAGAAAGGAAACAGATTTAAGATCTCCTTCCTTTCTGTTCCCCTTTCACATTGGAGAAGTGGCTGAAAGCTAGGCTATCACAGACGGAGAAAGCCTTCTCTTAGTTCACTTACTGGATCCACAGACCCGGAAAAGTACAGTCAATGACTGACTGTACTTAGGGGTTTTTTATACCATTTACCCTACTATTAACTCATTGTACACAAGAGAAGAGAGAAACGTGGATCAGAGAATGCAAACCAGAAAATAATTTTAGAGTTGTATTTTCAGCTTTATCTGAACCCAATGTCATAGACACTGGGAAATGAGCCCGGAGAAGCATTAGTAAGTCGGTCAGGCCCTCTGCTTAAGTTACACCTTCAGCAGGAGAGGAGAGGTGATGCGTAAATGTTTCACAGCCATCCTCTGGAGGGAAAGGATCCTGATTTGAAGTGTTTGCCCATTGCCGTGGTGTAAATACTCCCACCATGGTCGATTTCAAGCTAACAACGTGCCATCACTGAATGCAGAGCTGGGCAGGGATGCGCAGTAACACACCATTATGTACTATTTCCCCCAAACTGACACACCGCATACAAATCACCTCACGAGCATAGGTAACAGCAAACTATAGTGAAATAATCAAGAATAATAAAGTAATAAATGGTAAGTGCTTATTGCCTTTCTTTTTAATATAATTTATCTATGTTTATGTAATTTAATTTTTAATAATGGCTGGGTTTAAGAACTGACTCACAAAATTACCGAAGATTTAACAATTTGTGCGAGTCAGCGCGGACGCACCACTGACAAGCAGCCGTAAAGTGAATTAGTAAATTGTGCTCCTTTAAGTAAAAATGTGCTCGTTACACCAAAACACAGGAGCCTTGCAGCCAGGCAGGGCCGGGGTCAAATCCTGGGTCTCCCACCAGCTGTCAGCTTCAGGAAGATGTTTGATCTCGTGGGACTTTAGTTTCCTCACCTGAAGATTAAATGAGATAAAGTATGTCACGTGCTAGGGGCATAGTAGCATATCTTATAATTTTCTCAGTCTCATTTGGGGAGGTTACACAAACTTGTTATTCCTGGTTATATTTATTTGTTTGCTGGCTCTTACTTCTCAGGAAGTTCTCCAGTCCGGCAAGACAAATAAGGCTCCTGCTTTTCTATTTTCACACTATCTATAAGCCTCCTCTTTATTTACACTGTTACAAAATAGGGGAGAAATGGAAATCTATTGAATTAGGGAGACAGAGGGAAGCCACAGAGAAATAGAATAGTGTGGTCCATTGTGATACTAGCCAAGAGTCAAGTTGGAAAAACAAAGATTTAAAGAAGGCTTGCTAGCTCTTGTTTTCCTATTTGGGGAAAAATTTTCTTATAGCTTTATGAAAATGTTTTATTTTGAAAAGTAAGAGTCATATTTGTCTTTAGAGTTGAATTTTAAGACCACAAAAGCATAACTATTCTTTGTTATATTTCCATAAGCAACAGATAAATATATTTTTACAGAAAAAAAGATAACCCGTTTGTTTTCACAGCTCACTCACTCCTTTCTTTTCTTCAAAGCCAATTCAGTGTATAGATGGATATTAATGCTTTTACAGATGTATTGATTATTTTGGAGAAACTAGATCTGATGAAATAAATCTCTTCTGATTTGGCTGGATGACAGGGTATCCCTTCATTTATTTCTACCAAAATTATTGATATAAAAGATGAGCCTGATTTAGGGACTTTTTTCTTTTTTTCAGTAAGGAGCTGAAAAATGAAAGCAAATCACACCTGCAAGATGCACCAAGTTGCTTCTCTATCTGATATAATACTTAGGAGACCTGAGCTTGATTATATACTAATGTACTATGCTATTGATTGATTAGCCAGGGCAATGAATTATTATACTCGAATTGCTGTTTGCAAGGCTTTTTAACTATCTTTGAAAACAAGCTAACAGTCCAGGAAAAAGCTTTAAAAATAAATGGGTGCCAAAAGGACATAATTCACCTTCTAAGCAGTTTGGTTTGGAGAAAAAAAATATATTAACTTCATCTAGTCCTTGGGGCTTCGCAGCAATAAATATTGATTTGATATGAAAAATAGCTATCTACTGTAGTTAATAGTGTTGAGGACACTTTAGCTGCTGAAAGAGGGAAAATGCAACAAAATACGAGTTCCAGGGTTATGTCGGTGAGCAGAACCATTGTATGTTAATAGTTTTATTTCATAAAACACCACTCGCTATTGATTTTCTTGCCAAGCAGGTGCGAAGGTGCTGAGAAAGCATTTCACACATGTTCCCATTGGTTTTACTGAGGAAAAAGTCAAGGTTCCAGCAATGCCTTTTGTCTGCTTGTTTTGGTTTGGCTCATATTAAAATACACACACACACAGGTAACCATTTTTAGACCATACAAACTTTCTCCCAACAGTACCTGAGTACCGAGCCCCGTTTTCTGTGGACAGCAACCTGTCTGTGGTGTGTGTCAACTGGACCAGCAGCTTCCTTCTGAACGGCCCCCTGAAGGAGTACGTGTTGCTGGACGGAGCACAGCGCGTGTACAGCGGCGTTGACGCCCTGCTCTACATCCCAAGGACTGCGGACAGAAGTTAGTTTCTGGTGCTCATCGCTCCATGTGTGAGACGCTCTGTCCCCCACTGTACGAGATGTTAAACCTCAAAGGTGACTAGCAGAGGCACACCATGAAAATGTCTTGGTTTAAGCGGCCACTTCCTGTGGAAAAGCAATGAGCCCTGGTGGTGCAGTGGTGAAGCGCTCGGCTGCTCACCAAAAGGGGGGTGGTTTGAACCCACCAGCTGCTCTGTGGGAGGAAGACGTGGCAGTCTGCTTCCATAAAGAGTACAGCCTCGGAAACCCATTGGGGCAGTTCTACTCCGTCCTATAGGGTGGCCATGAGTCAGAATCGACTGGACGGCAGTGGGTTCTTGGGGAAAAGCTTACCGGGCAGAGTAAAGGAGGTTTCCCCTCCCTTGTGCTGCCCAGTGCATGGCAGCCAAAGACGCAGTCCTCGGGAGAGGGAGCCTCCGTGGGACATGTCACCGCGGCGGGACAAGATGGAAGGTGGGCAGGTTGTGTTCACAGAGAAAATACAGCACCCAAATGCAGTTGATTAGTATCCTAAAATTATACACTTATAGGGACTTCAGAGATTTTCTTGATACATCCCCAGCCTCCAAGCAGAGCCCCATCAGAAAATGGCCATCTCCAACTCTGAATGACCCTGAGTAAGGGGTTCCCTCAGTCTCTGTCCCTGCAAGTCACATGTCTTTTTCCTCTAAAGCTAAATTCTCTTCTCCCTGCTTGGTTAATTGAACCAGTTACAGTCCAGTGGACTTCAACTCATGGGGACCCCATGTGTGTCATAGTGGAACTGTGCTCCATAGGGTTTTCAGTGGCTGATTTTGCAGAAGTAGATCACCAGGCCTTTCTTTCGAGATGCCACTGGGTGGACTAGAACCCCAAGCTTTCCGTTAGCAGCCCAGTGCATTAACCATTTGCAACTTCCAGGCAATCCATTGCATTTATACTATTTGAAATTTAATGATAACATTTTCACAACAGTTCAGCTATCTGCACGTTTTCACGGTCACACTGCCTGGTCACCTGCAGCAGCTTCTTGCAATGGGAAGATTGGCCGACAGGTGGGAGAACTGGGTTCTTCTCGCAGCCAGGCCTTTCATCTGTGTGACCTTGTGGCGTTGTTTTCCCCAGGCTCCTGACTTTCAAGAGAGGCAGTTAGACCATGTGGTTTCAAAGATCCCTCTTGAGCTCTTCTATTCAGTAAGCACCTCTCGGTCTCTTACTAGGAGATAGAAGTGCATTTTTTAAAGGAATGAGTTCAGGCCACAAGCAGAACAAGATATGCCGTGCGTGCTGCCCATTCTCAACCAAAACCAAACCCGCTGTCATCCAGGCACTTCTGTCTCATGACAAGCACACGTGTGACAGTAGAACTGGGCTCCACAGGGTTTTCTTGGCTGTAACCTTTATGGAAGTAGATTGCCAGGGCTCTCATCTGTGCTGCCCGTGGGTGGGTTCAAACCGCCAACCTTTAGGTTAGTAGTCAAGCACAAACCCTTGTCCAGCTAGGGACTCTCTATTACTCTGCTAATTCTTTTCCTTAGCTATGCAACCTCTAAGCTTCTTCAGCTCCATCACTTCTAGATATACTATTATTACAGTAATTATAGCTTTATTCTTGACAATTTTTTAATTAGAATTAAGTTTGCATATTAAGAAAAAGTCTCACAACTTCCTCTGGAATCTTATGTTCAGACTTTTTTATGCTGCGATAAATGTATATTTTTTAAGTAGGCCTAGTTGATGAATAGGTGGCGTGCAGGCATTTTTTAGGGCGGTGAAACTATTCTCTATAATACTGTAATGGCAGACCCATGATATTATGTATTTGTCAAAGCCCGTAGGACTGTACAGCACAGAGCGAACCCTAATGTGAACTATGGACTTCAGTCACAAATGTATCGATACTGGTCATCACTTGTAACAAATGTACCATTGCAGCAGAGCTGTTAACAGGAGAGAGCGTGCAGAGGAGAGGGAACTCTCAATGCTTCGGCACGATTTCTCTGTAAACCTAAAATTGCTCTAAAAAATAAAGTATATTAAGAAACAAAAATGTGCCGACTATTAGTAAGTTGAATGACTGAGTCACTTACCAGCTCTTCCTTTTGTCTAGCCTTCTTTTTCCAGGTCATCTGCAGTACAGATGAAGGAAGTGTGAAGACACCTTTGATCCAATATGATACCTCGACTGGGCTTGGTAAACGTTGAACTCACATTAGGTTCTGTGTAGCATCTACTCATTTTCCTATAGAAATATGCATATGTTTGATTAGACATAAGTGTACTAATCTATTAGCAGAGACTATGTGAAAGAAATTGTGTTAGGTGTTGTAAAAAAATTGTTAAGTCCTTATGGAACTTATATTAAGCACATAATTAGAACATATTCCTAAAATGCCAAATCATTGAATTGCAAACGTGAAGAGGACCAGAGACATCTGCCTTAACTTCTCCCCTAATCACACATCCTGTCAATGATGAGCTGGGTGACTTTGTGCACAAAAAAGCGATTTGTAGGGAAGTCAGAGGAGAGAGAGATCAGAGGGAGGGGTACACACTCCAGTTCCAATTTGTGTTAACAGTAATGATGATATTCTGGATTCAAAGTCCAAAATGGTGAATTGGGGAAATGTCTGTCTTCTGTCCTCCATAAAAGGTCATGATCAACTGTTAATACCAAGTAATTTAGCTGAAGAGATAAAATTGTATTTTTTAAGGAGCATCTTTTAAATTGAGTTCCAACCATAATCTTTGAATCTAACAAATGTGATACTCTACAATTTCAAAGGGCAAGACGGAGCAATGTCAAGCTTTTCCATTAGGACAGAATTGAGACTGTTAACCTCTTTAAAGTCTGGTGATTAATGTTATATCAGATATATATTTATCTATACACACACAGACACAGTGTTTTTAGGAAAACACGGATGTCCAAAAATTCTGGAACACAGGTGAACGAACATAATGCCACAAAGGACAGCTTCAATCTGTAACAATAATAAAACATTATCTATATTTTCAGAGTTCACATGTCTGGATGCCATGTAAAATTTCTTACACCACCTAACACAATTCCTTCCACGTGTCTACCTTACTTTGCTTTATAGCAGCTGTGGCGTAGGACAGACCTCATCTGATATTCTTTTAGCAACTCCGAGGTTTCCTCAGGTGGACAGTCATTTACCCAGGATAGCTCCACAAGCTTGTTGCTAAAACTAGAACTCGAATGTGGTTCTGTTGACTCCTGGCCCACTTTTTTTTTTTTTTTAGCAATGGGTCCCAAATTCCAGTATGCATGGGAATCACTGCAGTGGGTTTGTTTAATACACAGTGTCCCAGGCCCCCAGTAGGAGATTCTATCTCGGTAAACCAAAGAAAACCAAACTCGTTGCCAAAGAGTCGATTCCAACTCACAGTGACCCTATAGGACCAAGCAGAACTGCCCCATAGTGTTTCCAAGGGGTGCCTGGTGGATTTGAACCGCCAACCTTTTGGTTAGCAGCCAAGTTCTTAACCACTGTGCCCCCAGGGAACCTGCACTTTTGGCCCAGTGACCCTGATGCACGTGGCTTAGACCACACTTTGAGCGCTGCCATCCATGTAACTGAGACTGTTGCACTGAATCCCGCCTGCCTAGCCACCTTGCTCAGCGGGAGGTATGTGATCCCAGGAGGCAGGCAGTTAACAGGGAGGGATTTACCCTGCCACTGGGTCTGGGATTGCATTTTTCTTTGGAATTGAAGCCCAACCACACAAGTTCCAACACTGAGTGTTAGCCTCCCACACTGGCTGCAAGGAGGAGTCCTTGAAGTGAGAGGTGCTTTGAGAAGAAAAGAGAGCTCCATAAAGAGGGATCATCCTGATTTCAAGCTCTCCATAAAGAGGAGAAATCTCCAGTCAGTTCATGAGTACAAACTGAGGTTTCCAGTGCCGAGGCCCGAGCACTTCTGGAGGCTGGACTCGGCGCAGAGCAGAGCGACATCCGGGACTGTGCGGTGCTAGGGCAAATTGCAAGATGTGCTGCCCAGCTAATATTCACGGTCAGTTTTAAACATTTAAAATGTTCCTGTTCTTTTGCCTGAAGGCAGCCTCCGAGCAGGAAATTCACACAGACCTGATTTTCCTCAGACTGTGCCACAGGGTCCCTGTAAGTCGGAATCCACTCAGCGGCAGTGGGTGGGGTTCTGAGAGCTATTTCCCTTTAGAGGCTTCCCTCTGGCAGACAGCTCTCCATTCCCCTGGGTCCTCCCAAGCAAAGGGTCCACTAGGCATGTCAGATTAGTTTCTGAAGTTACAGCCCTCTGCCACACACAGAGAAAAGAAAACCAAGGTTTGTTTGTTTTTAATCAACCAGCAAATATTGGATCCTAATCAGGGCATTCTGTTCACAAAGCTTTGACTCCAGCCCCTCCCGTTAGAGACAGAACAACGTGACCGTTTGCTGACCAAAGCGGGGCCAGCAGCAGGGTTAGGGTGGTGGTGGTTTCTCATCATGTGGATTCCTGCTCAGAGCGATCCCACGTGACGCAGTAGAACTGCTCCACAGGCCCTGGTGGTGCAGTGGTTAAAGTGCTGGCCACTAACAGAAAGGTCGAACCCACCAGCCGCTCCACAGGAGAAAGATGTGGCAGTCAGCTTTCATAAAGATGACAGCCTGGGAAACCCCATGGGGCAGTTCTACTCTGTCCTACAGGGTCCCTATGAGTTGGAATCGACCAAAGCAATAGGTTTGGTTTTTGTTTACTCTTTACGGAAGGAGATGGCCAGATCTTTCTCCCACAGAGCCCCTGCGTGGATTCGAACCAACGACCTTTCGGTTGGTAGCTAAGCACTTAACCATTGCACCACCAGGGCTCCTTCGGCTCCTTCCCCTTGAGCCATGCTGCTTAGCTGGTTAGCTTTAAGTGCAGAGAATCACATTGACTGTACTTGCGACACATGAATGGGAATCAAGGGTAAGTGTCCCACTGAAAAAGGATTTCTTTCCATAGGAAGCTCTGCCAGCACATTTCAGTGATACGTTGCAGAGCTTTTGCTATTTAACAGAGAGGCCATGGGACAAGCGGTATCAAGACAAGTTAGCAAGCTTGGGCTGCCCACTTCACAATGGAAAACAGGTCTGGTGCCTCAAGATCCAGTTTGCATACCGCTTCTTCAGAACAGGGCTGTGGCATGAAGTGAGGGAGCCTGCCTGTCCACAGCATTGCCTACCGACACGAAGGGGACTCTGCAGCAGGGTCAGCAAGGGCCCAGCCCCTCATGAGAACCACGGCTTGGAGCGGCGTTTGCTCCTGGTGACACGGCAGTGGAACAGGCCATCTTCCAGGTGACTTTAGTCGCCCCTTTAAACAACTCCAGGGACTTGCAAAGGCAGCGGTGGTTTCCAGCCTGAGCAGCAATGCCAGGAGGTCTCCGGAAGATTGTAAGCTTCTCTTTATAACCACTGACACCCTGAGCTATTACCCCCACGAGAACCCAGTGCAAACACCACGCGACACACTGCCGTATGTGTCGGTCTAGTTTACTGCAGAGTAACAGGACAATGGACCACACAATTGCCTTCTGAAATAACGTTTTCCTTCTCTGTCCCTGGGTTTTGCAGGCCTGGTGCCCACGCCTCCTGGAGAAAAGAGGGGGTCGGGGAGCAAAGGCACAGCATTCTACAGCGAGCTGTGGTTCATCGTGCTAATGGCCATCCTAGGCTTGATCTTGCTGGCCATTTTTCTGTCCCTAATACTACAAAGAAAGATCCACAAAGAGCCGTATGTCAGAGAGAGACCACCTTTAGTTCCTCTTCAGAAGAGGATGTCTCCACTCAGTGTCTACCCGCCAGGGGAATCCCACGTGGTATGTGTCCAAGGCTGTGGCCATTTTCCTGTCACTGATTGCAGTACTTATATGGGGGAAACATGTTTCATAGTGCTGGTAATGAGGGATCAGAGGAAGGTTATGTTTGTCCAGCTGTGGGGACCACGGGAGGCTAGCCCTACAGCAGTGTCCTCAATGTCGGCTACCCATTAGAATCACCGGGAAGCTTTGAAAATACCGGACCTCTTGTGAGAAATTCTGATTTCACTGGTCTGGGGTGGGGTTTGAGCACTGTTGTTGTTTTAACTTACTCATGATACTAATGTGCAAGCAGGCACAGGAGTTTGTGCTCTGCAGTCGGAAGTCAGGAAGGTGGGGAAGAGTTGTATGGTGAAATCACCTGGGGAACCTATTGCTGTGTGTGTCCCAAACCAAACCAGCTGCTGTCGAGCCGACCCCCACTCGGGGTGACCCCGTGTGTGTTATAGAACTGTGCTCCACACGGTTCTCAATGGCTGATTTTTCAGAGGTAGATCACCAGGCCTTTCTTCCAAGGTGCCTCTGGGTAGACTCCAACCTTGCGGTTAGCAGCTAAGCGTGTTAACTGTTTGCACCACCCACAGACTCCCATTCAAACCAGGAGTATAATTTGCATCAGCAGAGCAAAATGAAGTGTCCTTGCTGATGTTCATAGCTCCTCACCCACTCAGCATCAAAGGTAAGAATATGAACAGAAGCATGCTGGGTCTCCTGCTTAGTTTCCCGGACTGACACCCCGCCTGCCCCGTCATCTGAGCAGCTCTGGTTTCAGTGTTGCTGTCATCCCGTCCCGCGCAGCCCAACCCTCTGAACAAGTAAGGTGCCCCTGGAACACCTGGCTCAAACTGGCAGAAGAATTTTAGGCTCCACTCTGAACAGAGAAAAACACGAGAAAGGTGGCAGGGAACGAGTCTTTCGTATTTTAGCAACCTTTTCAAGGTCACACAGCATCCAGTGTAAGTGCAGGTCTTGTATCTTCATTGCTGGTTTGAAGGTCCTCATATTCTCTGCGATACCAAACAAACAATGCAAGGGAAACTCCCCTTAGACACAAACGCTGTTAGTTTCCACTCACCATGCAGTTTTCATCGCAAGCCCTTCATATATACATATTTAAGATGTATACACACACACACACACATAATCAGGGTAGTATTCATGTATGGATATGATTATGGTAAGGAGCCTTGGCACAATGATTAAGCACTTGGCTGCTAACCAAAAGGTTGATGGTTTGAACCCACCAGCCACTTTGCGGGAGAAAAAGACCTGGCAATCTACTCCCACAAAAATGACAGCCTAGGAAACCCTATGGGGCAGTTCTACTCTATTATAGAGTCACTATGATTCGGAATTGACTCAACGGTGCACAGCACGATTATGATGTACTGGGAGGAACACAAAGAACTCTTAGAAACGTTCCAAATGCTGACTGATGCCCCCAATTTTTTCTCAGTTTGATTCTGTGGCTGATATATCTGATGTGTCAAGCAGTGTCACCCTAAAAAGTTACACCATGCACTTTGAGGTACCTTTGTGTGCTGTCTGAATGCATGATCTTTGGCATGGCCTGTGGATTGCACAAATGAAAAGCAGGGATGTTTCTTTGACTGAACCAGCTAAATCAGAGCCTTCGCATGCTTAGACAAGCTACGTTTTCTCTTAAGGCACTTTCTAGGTCCTAACTGTGGAGTGGCTCTCTCTTTTTGATGTTAGTATCAGACCTGACTGATCTTGGAGGCAGGAATCCTATAATGAGGGAACAATATGGAATGACAAGAAAAGGAAGGGAGGGGCCAACTTCTCTACCCAAATCTAGGGAGTTTACAGCAAAATACAAACAGTGCTCACTTAGTGGGTCAACGTGAGCGCACAGCTACCCCTGACTGCCCTGAACGCAGTGCTCTTGCGATAGTGCTGACAGGCAGCGTGACGAGATTACCCTGTTAGCCCCGTAACCCCTTGCACCACCACAGCAGCGCAGCAAGCCCCTGCCCCACAGGGAAACGCAGCCACAGCAGCAGCTCCCGAGCTCTCTAGGTGCTAACGACACTGGCCGTCTAACGAGACCTCTAGCGTATTCTCACCCTTACCAAGGCACCAGGGGCCACAGTGTTCCAGGACAGCTCACAGCTGCTAAGTTCTGTAGGAGGGTGAGAGACAGTTCTTTCACTGACAATGTGTGAGTCTGTTTTCTGTCCTGTTTCAACCCCGTTTTCACTCCACGCTAATTACCAACAGCCGATTTCCTTTCAGGGATTAGCTGGCACCCAAATTCCTCGGTCTGGGACACCTGTGAGTATCCGGAGCACTCGGAGTGTGTCTGTTCTGCGAATCCCAAGTCAAAGCCAAATCAGCCAAACCTATTCCCAAGCAGGCCTCCAGCGCAGCGTCAGCCAGCTCACGGACATTCAAGACAAGGAAGCCTTGGCTGCTGACTCGCTGTGGGAAACCATCATGGGCCACGACAGTGGACTGGTGAGTTGATTAAGAGCTGGCACAGGCTCCCTGTGGCTCACCGAATACGGCCCCACAGCGCTCTGTGTCTGTCTCTGAGTCAGGCCGAACGCTTCTGTGACTGCTTGCTTACTAGTGTGGCTACTACATGTTGGACGGTGAGCAGGGCACCGCTGTGTCTTGTTCTTCTGGCACACAATAGATGGTCAAAACATAAGTATAGGAATCAGTGAAGAAGCAAATGGGCCACTTCGTTAAGTTGGGGCAAAAAGTGAGTAGAAACATTGGAACTGGCCCAAAAGTCAGCATAAAACAGGAGCACCTGTTTTTAGAAAATGAGGTGCCTCACCTTTTATTTCCTGGTTTATTGTTAGAAAATATTGTTTTGTCTCTCAACAGCCAAGGAACTGTTAGAAACTCATGATACATAAGGGTGTTAGTGTTTACGAATGCCATCTTCCATAATTCCAGTCTAGCGGGTACAAATAACAGACTCTTTGTAACTTAGCCTCATCATTATCTAATATTTGTTAACAGCCCCTAGCTGGCTGATATATTAAACTCCTAGAGTTTTTACCAACCACCAAACTTCTCCATTATGCCAACCACCTAGATGTCTGCTGACATACCATTCTGTTGGGATAGTTAGATAAACAAATAACCAACGAAGAACTTAGCTAATAACTCGAAAGATTAGATAAGAACCTTTAGGGGGCAGTGAGTTTATGTTAATGGTGGAGGAACAACTCAGAAAAGGAGAGTCAGGATGGTTGCACAACTCGAAGGACGTACTCAGTGTCCCTAAACGGTACGTGTAGACACTGTTGAATTGGTGTATGTTTTACTGTGTATATTCTCAACAACAAAATAAGTAAAATTATATATCTATAAAAAAAAACTTAGCTCAACCATCCTGCTTCTGCCTTTGGGCTCTGTCACTCATCTCTCTGCCAAGCTCTCAATTTTTCTTCATTGTAAGTCTGATGACTTCCATGAAGCCTGTCTTGGCTCATGGTAAGTAATGAAGCAAGTTCCCTGAGGCCAGGTTCCGTATCATCATTAAAAAATAAACTGCACAGTACTTCTTGCTTGTTCAGATGATAATGGTATTTATATACATGTACCAATACTTTATTGCATTTCACAAACCATGGGCCTGCTTCTGACTATTGAGTTCTATGCATTCCACTTCAGATGTAGTTTCTAAATGGCAGGAATAATTATAATAGGTTGAAACATAAGGAATTGTTCATTGATCATGTTTGACATGCAAAATAGTAATTCCATATGGTTCAACATACTACGCTGAGGGCTTACGTGCATTATTTCACATAATCCTCACAAACTCGAGAGGGTAGGTACTGTTATCGTTGCCGTTGGTACATGATGAAATGAGGCTTGGCTTAGTAATTTACCTAAGGATACACAGCTAGTCAGTCAGTTCTTCATGGAGTTGCGATTTAAAAATATCATCTGGCTACATAGCTATTATACTATATAGCCACTTTTGTTTGCTTTTTTTACAGTACTAGTAATGTGCAGCGTGCAAAGCGATTCAATGAAAGCTTCCAAAGATGGCAATAGTTACCAAGTTATCTGTTCATTATAAGATAATCAACATTACTAGCCCTAATCAATAAATACAGTGAGAGAGTGGGAATCAATAGAGCATAAGAGCTTGCATTCTGACTCTTCTGCTTACTCTTTGAACTACGTCTTAAAAAACAGACATGAGTATATATGTATATATACATATAAAATCTCCCCATTTTACAGTTGAGAATACTAAGTCTGAGAAAGGTTGAGATATAGCACAATGTAACACTCAAATCACATACAATTCATGTGCGCATGTGAAGTGATCCTTTCAATAAGACACACTTAAGGCCGGGGCTATTTTAAACCACACCTTACAGTGTTGGGCATACAGTATCAGCCCTTAATAAGCACTTACTGATTACTTTTTACATAAACTGATAGAACTGCTAATTGAGCAAACACCCTAAGCAATGATGACTGGCGTATTTTTCAGTACATGGATGAAGAAGGCCTGATGAACGCCATCAAGGGTTTCAGTTCAGTGACCAAGGAACACACCACATTCGCCGACACCCACCTGTAGCTGCGCCGCGGGAAGCTGGAGCGCAGGATGCGCACCTTTTCGTCACGGTTATCATGGCCTGACACATCAGCGCCGAGAAGCCATCGTTACTCGGTTATCCTTTAAAGCAATGGGGATTGTTTCTGCAAGTGTTCCTCCCTAACGGAGGTCTAAGAAATGTTATTTTTCTGGTTGTATAAAACGAGGGGGTAATATTTATATGAAAATATTTGTTTTGCTCTGCTTATTTTGTGGAAGACAAAGCAGCATGTAATTTTCACTTGCTCTGTCTGGCGGTGATGCTGTTGGATAAATGAACAGTCAGCGAAGAGAAGTGTGCTGGCTGGAAACAGATTCTTGCAGAGGTGTCTCTGCTGCCGTCTTCAGCTGCTCCTTATAATCCTGCTTCCGTCAGGCTGACACAGTCCTGTCACAGCGATTCTCATGATCATAGTTGCGGAGTGAAATCCCAATTTCAGGCTAAGCTGAGTCAGAGACAAACAAGAAGTGCGCCGCGGTTACACACTTGGCTGAGGGCTCTCTTTAATTGTTTAGGGTTAAATCTCCACCAAGCCTTTGGACAGAGCACCATATGCTTATAATAAACGTGTCTGTTCTTGCATTTACCAATCTTCTGAAAATCTGAGGACTGAACAGCTAATTCATACATTTCAAGGAGAAAAGCATTTCACGGAAACAGCTCCACTTGAACCACCACCAGTATTTCCCATATTTCTTATCGCTTGAAACTCCAAAATTTTTATTTTCATAAAATTCTCTCAATAAACTGAACACTAGGGAACACTAACGTCTTCAACTTAGGACATTTCTAGTGGAAACTACTGTTCTATATGCGGTATTTGATTAGTCCACATGGAATTAAATCAGTTTTCTTTGTGCTTTCCACGAGATTATACATACAGGTATACACACACACACACACACACACGCACACACACCTGGTTGCACGAAACGAGGAGGTAATTGAAGAAGTACCACTGTGCCACCAGGGCTCCTCATATACGTATGAGCCCCGGCGGCAAAGGGATTAAGCACTCAGCTGGCTGCTAACCAAAAGGCAAGCAGTTTGAACGCACCAGCTACTCCGTGGGAGAAAAATGTGGCAGTCTCCTTCCATAAAGATTATAACCTTGGAAACTCTATGGGGCAGTTCTACCCTGTCCTATAGGGTCCCTGAGTCGGAATTGACTAGACGGGTTTGGTGTATATACATAGATAAAGATGGATAGAGATACAGATACAGATACAACTCTGTACTACATCCCTTGACTGCAAAGAAGTACTCTTTTCGCCTTAGAATCGCTAAGGGCAGATAATGCAACAGTAGCAGTATCCATGGTACAAAACTTTCTGTCATCTGCTCTGTTTGGACTGCCAAATCGTTAGTCAAAGTCCTACTGCAAGAAACATTTCAAGTCAGCAACATAAAATTAAAGACATTTAAATTGGTTCTTCATGGAAAATAACGTAGAAAACTCTTCTTCATTCTTAAAGGTCTTAGTGACTCTGGGAAGTTATTTTGAATCTATCTGCATCACGCACAATTACATGACACTATTTTCTGAATATACATTCAGAGCCAGGTGGGTTTTTCCAAAGCTGAGCTGGCAAAAACTTACAAAGTCAAGAATACCCTTAATTATTCTGCTTGAAAACTACAACTTACTCTACAGTCCAACAGGCAAAGACTGTAACTTCTGGGGCTATGATACTGCTTGCACCTCTGTGGAAGACAGCTCCTCAGATGGACCAGCTCCCGGACAAATCCCACCAGTCCTGTGTCAAAACACAAGCCAGTATTCAGCAGAAGCTCTTCCCCTCGTTAGAACTACTCTAAGCAGACGAATCTGAAACAATTGTGTACACTTGGCAGTGGACACTCAAGTCTTAATAGACTTCTTTCCAAGTTTTATACTCTCTGAAATGGAAAAATGGGATGGGCGACTTTAGGTTGCTGGTTTTTATTCCCACTGGCTGATCCTGGGCCACTTAGTTTCAAGCGAGCACAGATGGGGTTCAGGCCGGGCCTCTGCCCCCCGCGAACTACTTACAGCACAGGGGGACGGGACGTGCTCTTTTCCAAAGTCACCAACTTGCAGCCACACCCTCAGCCGATTCTTCTGCAAACAACTGTTGGTCACAGGATTCAGGAGACTGCGCTCATTGTCGTTTTTGGAAAATTAACAAGATAAAATTTATTGCTGTGTATCTGAGTCGGAATCGACTCGACGGCAGTGGGTTTGGTTTTATAAAACTTTAAAAGAATACAAAAGAACAAAATAGAGAACTGCTGGGGATTTACTCTTAAATCATTCTCCACTTAATCATCCAGTTAGGCATTTAGTTATTACATGGACTCATTTAATCTTTTACATTTTTCTCTCTTAGAGTGGACAGATGCCCTGGCTTCCGCCCAAAACACTGCCCCTCCCCACAACTACCGAACCTTACTTCTAAGTACTTCAGAGGCGAATAGTAAGACTTCAGTTTGCTACTTTCAGTGATCCTGTGTGCCAAGCCTCCATCGCACAAACTGTGTAGACGCCCCTAGACTGATTCAGCCAGCCTGGGGGCGGGGGGCGCTGGCCAGCAGTGCTGTTGACGCTCCCAGGTGCACCTACTGTTTCGAAGCAGTGATGTAACCAAGCGGAATGAGGACTGTGCAGCTCGGCCTCCCACTCCTCCCTCGCCCAGTGAACAGCAAGCAGTTCTCTAGGAAACCCTTTAAACCTGGTCTACAGCTTTTTTCTTGTCACTTGTACAGACCATACGCTCAGGTTAACTGGAGAACTACCATATTCTGCTGTTCCTAGTATTAACTGTTTGGTAAGAGTACATAGTGAGGTTTTTATAAGATCTACTAAGAATTGTGTCTCTAGGTGATGTTATTCCCACTACATGGAAAACCTCATTATGAATCTGTTACGATGATATCTAATACTGATCTAAACATTGTGTTGGCATCAATATAAAAATAATTCAACCTGATCAACCTGTTAATAAAACACAGGCCAGGTGGAATAAATTATTAATAAGGAACTTAATTATGTCACACATAAATATTCCAATGCAAAATATCATGTAAAAGAATCGGAAGATGGTTTGCTTAATAAGTATTTAAATGTGAAGCAAGTTTGACTTTAATACATTTATGAAAAAATATTCTAACGACTCTGGGTTGTATTTACAATTTACAGATGAATAACGGTGATAAAAGTGAACCTACTTAACAGGATGCTCCGGGTAATTTCTCAGCCTTCAGTGTAGAATCAACCGTGGTTCTTTTCTCAAAATACACGAGTCTCAACCACAAACATTCAAATTTAACAGGTCTGGAGTAGGGGCCTGGGCAACCGTCTTGTGTACAACCTCAGGCAATTCAAGAACACAGATACACACGTCTGACTGAGGAAGCCAGGAACAGGACAATAGGTTCCTGAAAGAGGCAGACCTGGGCTCCAAAGTTGCTCAGTAGCTAACTAGTCTTGTGTCTGGCCAAGTTATTTCTCCTTTCTGGGCCTCAGGGATCTCACCTGTGAAATGAGGCTAATGATCTTATCGCTGAGATAATACTTTTGTTTTGAAATAAGTAAAAAATTATCTGAAAAACTCATTTCATTATGAGAATTATAATCCTGTTCTTGTTTTCCATTAACCACACGAAGCACACAGATTCATTTCAATTCTTCCTCTTCTCATCCCAGCAACCCTAATGAGGTAGGTACAATGAAGACAAGCTTAGTGGGGCTAGGCTGCTCAAGGTTACCAAGGGCCAGAAGACTGAGATCCCAACTCTAACATCAGGGCTCAAACTCTTCTAAGTGAAAGAAAGAAACAAGATTTGACTTGGGGCAGTATAATACAATCCATGGTGCACTGAGTTGCCTTTTTGTAGGATTTTACTATATAATAGTTCTGTTTTGTTTTATAGACTTTTCCTCTTGGAAAATCAGGTAAAGCATAAATACTCTATTTTAAAAATTTTTCTTTCTCGCTTACACAATTTTTACATAACTGTGACAATGAGGAAGAAGAGCGTAAGAGACGATGGCAATTCTTTAGTTAGTAATTGTGAGATTATGCTTTGCTTAACATTTTCCCACATGGTCACATAACTTAGTTTCATAGGTATTAAAGCTCTCCCTCCTCGCCCCTTTCATTATGCGAAGAAACAATGAAATGAGCAAAGAACAAGTTGGTACACTTTACAGAGGACACCTGTCCCTCAAATCACAAAAACAAACTGTCTTAATTATGTTTATTTGACTTAATTGATAAATAAATACAACTATTGTGAAACCACTGGCCATACAGCAAACTTTAAACAGTTTATTTCAACTTTACTCACTTACTATATTCTTGGAATGGGAATATATACATTATTCACCCATGGATGCTTAATGATTTAAATTTGACCATTTCAATTAAATGAGGAAAAAAAGTACAAGAAATTGTCTTTCTTTTGCCCTTACAATTCAGAATATATTCAAGGTAACATTTTTACAGCAGCCAAAAGCATTAACCAAAAATTCAGAACTACAGTCTCATAAGCTTAACAAAATGGCCAAATTCTTAAGTTTAATTATTTTGGTTATTGACATGGGAAAAAAAATATGCCAGACAGACTAGCAACTGATACAGCTTTCCATTCTGGGCACTAAAAACTGGCCCTTATGTATTATTTTTATTTCATCAGTTCAAACACAGACAATCACTCCAACTGAAAAAAGAAAGTTCAAATGGACTTCTGGCATTTAATATTGTTGACGCTTGCTAAGACTTAAGAACTTCAACAATGAGAATCAGAAAATGGCCCACATTAAAAAGAAAACACATCCTAAAGGGCTTCCCACACGGCGGAATCTGGTATTCTGCATCAATAGTGTTTTTGAATTATGTGGTTTTTTTCTTTTTTAACAAACATAGCACCTCATTCAAATATCTGGTAAACACTTTGCAAACACAACAAGGGTCAGAAGACCAAGTTCTGAAAAGAATTATGGGATTCACTTATGAGAACACTGCAAGACAAGTCCCAGGCTTAATCGAGATCCAGAACCCAGGCTGGTGATTCCCACACCCTAAAAGGACGCTCATGTATACATATGGGCACCATCCTCTTAAGATGAGGTGCTTTATTTCCACAACCAACAAACAGCAGCTCAATGTTGAAACAGACTCTTGCTTTACAAACGATTCTGAAAAAAAAAAAAAAAAATCTCCCAAAACATTAAGAAGTAAGGTTATTTTAGCTCCTTTACTCCTGGAAATTCTGTTATAAAGATACTAAATGAAGTCCAATTTTAACTTGTTAGGTTTTGATGTGAAAACTAGTTTATTTGAGAGCCAGTGAAGTTTAGCTTTCATCTAAATCGAACAAAACAACTATTCATTTTGGTGCGTCTTCACAAGCTATACTCTTGACCTGAAGAATCCCTTTTTTTGTGCCGAGGAGATGGCGTGGTCTTTGTAGGAGATGGGGACGCGGTTCCAGGCGAGTCAGCACCTCCATCTGAAGTACTTGGTGACGATAGATAGGGAACCTTCTTTCTTCCCAGGAATCCTCCACCTTCAAATCCTCCTTTCTTCCTCAACTCTACTTTATTTTCATTTTCATCTTCTGATGACCTTTTCTTGGATTCTGAAAAACCTTCAGCTATTTTATGAGCTTCCAAGCCACTCTCTGCTTCTCTCAAACTTTTTATTTCCGTTCCAGGAGATTTTCTCTCAGCTCCATTACATTCCCCTGGTGCCCACTTCACTTCAGCTTGGACTGGAGCCACGCTGCCGTTTTCAGGGACAGCTCTTTCTACGTTTCTGTTCAGATTAATTGTCTGGAAGTCCCTGTAACTGTGAAAACTCTCGGTCCTCCTCGCCCGTGCCAGAAGAGGACTCTCCCTGTACGGCCTCACGGAACCATACGTAGCTGCTTCGTGAATGGCCTCATGGTGCTGAAGCTGAAGGCTGAGAACACATTTTAAAAAGTTATAGTTCAGTTCTCTCTCTGGGATTTTTCAGGGGCATATCTTATCAAGTAAACTACTGATACAAACACATTACATACACATAAATATACTATATTCATGCTTCTATGTATTTTTTTTTTTTACAGGTTTATGCTTCATATCATTTTATATGTGTAACACACATTAAACTACCAATGCATAAAATACTATACACATATTCACAGTCACGCTGGATTTTTGAATAGCTGAAAGGCCGGGAGGAATCTTTGAAACCAATACGGTGTTTGGAAACCAATTCGGTGTTTGGAAGTTTCTGTCAATATGGTAACAAAAAAAGACACACTATGTCACTTTACTCAAAGTACAGAATGTCTAAATGTAAGATTAGGCAAGAATTTGATTACTATGTCCCTGAGGCAACAGGAATGAAACCTCCGCATCCTACCCAAGGTGACATGTGTTTTCCTAATTACCTGAGCGAGTTCTTGATCGCATAAAAGACATCCGAATTGGTAACACTCTGCAAGTAAGTTAAAAGGCAAAAAATGTTTTTCTACGAAAAGAACCACAAATATGCACGTAGATGAGAAAGCTAGCAAAATTTAAAAAACTGAACATCAAAACAGTCTGAATTAAAAATGTGCCTTGAGAAATCTGACTTTCAAGCAAAACTATGTATTTACAATATTTCTGCCAATTTTTCCCAAAGCAAGCAATTACTTAACCTGTGCTACAGTACTCCACTCCAGACCCACCTGGAAGTGGACTCGCGCAGACGGCTGTGCTGCACCACGGATGTGGCCGGGCTGATGTTGGGGGTAGCACAGCGCGAAGTACTCAGATCACACTGATCCAGTAACTTCAGCAGCTCTTCCTCGGTTGGACCACCTACATCTGAGGACAACGAGCACTGTTAACTCACTGAGGTCCAAAGCTTCTCCTAGGACAAACATCCCTGCAGGTGGCAACCTACCCTTCTCCTGGCTTTTGTTAACCATGTCCATAGCTGTGGTCAGATCCCACATCTGAATGCTGCCGTTTGTGTGGCCTGTGAAGAGATAGCGTCTCGGTCTGGAGCCCATCCTGCTGGAGCCCTCGCACTCCCGCACCGTGAATGACGATATGGTCGTACAGTCCACAGCCTGGATCTCACAGATTCTGAAAAGACACTGGACGGTCATAAATCACGGGGAGTAACTGTGTGTATCTGCAGATTTATGTATTTACAGATTTTTACTAATTATGAGCCAGAATCGACTGGACAGCAGTGGGCTTGGTTTTTTTATTTATAAAGTTACAGCTGAATACTCCACATGTAAAACTGAGATTTAAAGAGATCAAAGCAAGTAAACAGGAAATAAAACTCAAGCCTTGTTTCTTTGAGTCTACATAAAAGGCTCTTACAAAACAATGTATTATTAAATAACTAAAATAAGGCAGCTAATTTAAGTTGAGCTTGAAAGAAAAACAGAAAGAGCCTTGACGGGAATGAGCAATTCTTTAAAAGGAAATTTGAAACCAAAAAGGAAGACAGAGGCCAAGCAAACGGACTAGAAGAGATCCTGAGAAGGGATTTAAAATTTATGCATAAATTAAAAAAAATCTGAAGCCAGAAAAAATATACAATTACATGGAGATGGCCTAAAAGTATCCTCCAGGAGGAAAATACTCTTAACTTTTAAAGCACTTTTATTGTTATTTCACATGACTTTCATAAAAGAGAACTTGAGAAAGGACAATTATTATCCATATTAGACAAACGAGGAAACCAAGGGATAATGCTGGCAGATAATCTTTCCAAAGTGACAAAAGGACTGATGTCAAAGTACGTGGCTGAATTCTTTATCCCAGCCTACCTCAAAACAGAGCTGAGGAGGCTTATCTAAAGAACACAATATATCAGGCAAATGAAACAGTTAAAAAACGGAGGAGGAAGAGGAAACGCAATCCATATAAACACAGGAAACACAGGAACAGAACAGGAGGCTTAGCTGAGCATCCTAGCAGGCAAGGCAAAGCGGAGGGGAAAAGGTTCCCTGCATACCCACACAGGGTGACAGAGGCTGTCTAGTCTCATTCCTGATCTCCAGGAGAAAGCTTCAGTATTTCACCACTCAGGAGGAGGTTCACTACAATTATTTCTGTAGATATTATTTATCATATTAAATAACTTCCCCTTTGTTTTAGCTTTCTAGGATTTTTTTTTTAATTTACCCTAAACAGGTGTTGAATTCTGTCAAATGTTTCTTCTGTGTTGACTGAGATGATCAAAATTCTCATTATTGTTAATGTAGTTAATTACACTGATTTTAGAATATCTGACATAATTTTTAAAAAACTAAATCTACAGATTCCTATTTATGGTTAAAAAAATCAACATTCCTAAGTGCACATAAAACCAATCTATCATTTTACTCTTTTTTTTTTTCTCCTATAGGATAGATTCCTTAGAATAACTCCTTCCTTTTTTAAAACTTTCCACACAGGTTTTTCTCCTCTTCATTTTCCGTAAAACCCTCTCCTTTCACTTCTCACTATTAAAAACTTTCTTTTAAACAAAAAGTTTTGTTTCACATTAGCTTCATCAATGGCTGATTTTCAAATTAATTCTACAATGTAGTTTATGCTTGTCATTTTTATAACTAGCCTTTTCCTCTGGAATAACTTTAAAAATTATAAAATTTCTACCAAGCAGAAATTACAGTTCATTACAATATACTGCTATCATATGAAGTAACAGCAGGTGGAGGAGGAGATGAGAATTGAGCAAGGACCTGAGACACTGAATTGTTAGAAGATGCTAGATGATGACAGCAGTCTTAATAAACATCGCAGCTTTCCCCCTAAATATGCAGGAAACACTAAATTACGTGATTCATAACATTTCTGGAGACAATAACTTGGCCTCTAACTATATTACAGGTTCCTAATACATTTTCTTAAAAAAACAAAACAAAAAACCTGTCAAAAAGACAGTTCGGGTACATAAAAATCATTTTCTGGTATCAATTCACTGATGACTATGTGCAAGGAACCTTGACAGAAAGGAAAGTTATCATCTCTCCAAGAGTGTATTCACTAAACCTTTAAGTAATAAGGACCAGGAGCTGAAGAAAAGGCAACTGAGCAATTACTACAACAGCAGCAGCATTCTCAAGGCCTCCTAACAGGCAGTTCACTGATAGTCACTAGTTTGGCATACAGAAACTTTTGTTTTTACAGCGAAGAAATGCTAAAGCTCAACTAGTGTGAAGCTATAAAAACAGATTTTAAAAGGAGTAAAATTTCAGTCAAATAAAAAAAGGGGGAAACGAACTTCTACAGAACATGTCTTGTGCTCAGGGACTACGCAAAACATTTAATAAGTTTTAACTCCCAGGACACTCTGCCAAGGTAGCTGAACCTTATTTTATAAATGAAGAAACTGGGACTCGGAAATAAAGCAACTTAACTTGAATTTACACAGCTAGTAAGAGGAGTATCAGAATTAGAACTGGTCCAACTGTATCAAATTCAACATTCTTGCTCTATCACTGCTGCTGTTGGAGCGTGCCATCCACTCACGGCCACCCTAGAGGACAGAGGAGAACCTGCCCCACAGGGTTTCCTAGGCTGTAATCTTTACGAGGAGCCCTGGGGACACAATGGTCAAGTGATCAGCTGCTAACCCAAAGGTTGGCGGTTCGAACTCCCCAGCCACCCTGAGGGAGAAAGACCTGGTGATCTGCTTCGGTAAAGATTTCAGCCTTGGAAACTCTATGGGGCTGTTCTGCTGTGTCCTACGGGGTGCTATGAGTCAGAATCAACCTGATGGCAAGTTTTTTTTGTAATCTTTAAGCCAAGCGCTTAACCACTGCGCCATGAGGGCTCCTTACTCTATCATTAGTCCTTCCAGCTGTCTAGAGCATCAGTGAAAATCTTAAGCAAATCCCAGAGAATAACCACTAAACCTGCTGTGTTAATTTTAAGTTATAATGATCACAAGATAATGAATAAACTTCTCTGTCAACAGTTTGCTCCCAGGGGGCTCTGATCGTCTGCAAAAAATATGCCAGACGAACTGCAGGACAGAGCGGCTCCTAAATCTCTCTCTCAGCAGTAAAGCATCACCTTTTCCCGGTAGATGAGAGTCTGACAAACAGCTTGTTAGTGATGGGAACAACTTTCTGGATAAACACCTGCTGATCATCTCGCTCTCCAAACGGCCCTGGGTCAGAAAACAGAAAACGTCAAGAGGTTAAATTAACCGAAATTTAATTTGCTTATTTTTAAAAAGGAACATTAAGACCAAAAACAAAAATTTTTCCTCCCTATCAATATGACATTGCATTTCACATCAAAATCAGGCACAAAATGCAATGCTACAAGTACTTCAACTTGTATTAAAATTTTTTTAAAGAAATGTCTGATGCTTCAAAATTACATTATAAGCACTATGGCTGTAAAAGCTGAGGTAACACTTTGTTTACAGCTACACGTTAACACTACTAGAAACACATCTACTTAAACGTAAGTTCTATAGTTACTATCTTTGGGGATGTGGTAAGTTCTTTAGAATTTCAAAACCTTCTGTATTGACTTTACCTTTTTTGAAAAGCCAACACACAAAACTTTTATAAAAAATAAAGTACCTTTCATTAAACAGAATTTAATTATCAGAAGCCTTCATTAATCAGGCTTCTTCTTTTTTGTTTTTTAAGATGCCAACCAAAAGGACACAACTTTGATTAGAGTAACTGCAAACCCAAAAAAGAAACCTCAACAACACGAACTTCACTACTGAGTGAAACTCATTAAAACTCTGCAAGGTTCTCAGTCCAAAAAGAAAGATTCAATTACTATTACTGTTACTTTTACTATTTTGTACTTGGCAAGGCAGGTAAATGGCCCATCACATTTTAAAAAGACTCTGAACAACACTGTAAAGAAAAAATGTTTTTACTCAAAACTTAAACGTTAAATCTAAATAGCAATTCTCTTTTCCCATTATCTTTATTAGTTAAAATAATACCAACTTATTCATAAAAACTTCTCAAATAAAAAAAATTCTTATGTACAAAAAATTTTTCAAGACAATATATTTGAAGTAATCTAATATGAATCATACCTAATCCATGAATGAAACAATAACATAATATATAGTGCTTATGACGCGTCACAGTAAATGACTTACAAACATTAACTCATTTAAATCATCATAAAAGGAGCCCTGGTATGGTAAAAATTTTTAAAGGTCTTGACTGCTAACTGAAAGGTTGGCAGTTTGAACCCACCCAGCAGCTCTGCAGGAGAAAGGCCTGGTGACCTGCTTCTGTAAAGATCACAGCCAAGAAAACCCTAGGGGACAGGTCTACTCTGTCACGTGAGGTCACTGTGAGTCGAAACTGAGCTGACAGCACCTAACAGCAATCAACGGCCACCACCAATGGGCACTGGTGGTCCAGTGTAGAAGGTCTTGCCTTCCAAGCCAAGAAACCTGGGTTATCCCCAGTCAGCGTATTTCACGCGCAGCCACCACCCATCGGTGTGGACGACTGCGTGTTGCTATGATCCTAGACAGGTTTCGGCAGAGCTTCCAGACTAAGACGGACTAGAAAGGCCTTTACTTTCAATGAAAACCCTACGGGTGACAAGGGTCCAACCTGCAACTGACCATGGGGATGGTGCAGGCCTGAGCAGCATTTCATCCCTTGTGTATGGGATCACCCTGCGTCAGGGGATGCCTCAACAGAGGCTAACAGCAACAACATCATAATAAACATGTAATAGGAAAAAACACCTAAACCCGCTGCTGTCGAGTCGACTGACTCATAGAGACCCTACACGACAGAGCAGAACTGCCCCAGAGAGTTTCCAAGGAGTGCCTGCTGGATTCGAACTGCCAACCTATTGGTTAGCAGCTATAGCTCTTAACCACTACGCCACCAGGGTTTCCACAAACAAATAATAGAGGTACTATTATTATCTCCATTTTACAGATGAGAAAACTACGGCACCCAGAGATCAGTTAATCCAGATCTCCTAGGTCCTATGTGGTGGAACTGGAATTCCCAAAGCTGCCTGGCTCCGGAGTCTGGCTCTTTACCACACTATGTCGTCACTCAGTTACACACAAATCCCTGACAGCTAATTCCACTGGAATGAAATGACAGTTCTTATCCAATAATCCGTAACCAAAGTCAAAGCAGAGATAAGTAACACATAACTAAGAATGAGAGGACTAAAATTCAGTAAGGGACAAGCTTCTCCCCCTCTAACTTTATATTGTTATGACATTCCCCCATAACTTAAAGCCTTATACCTTACTTCATTAATCACTCCTTCTGAATGTGTATTTCTGCAAGCATCTCCCCTCCTTGGCTTTCTTCCTTCAGAACATGAAATCTCCTTAGACCTTTTCTATCTTAAAGGAGGGTGGAAGGAGAAGGAATCCAGAAAATGACCTTTGAATGTAATTGTCTTCTAATTAGCCTCATCACTTCCTTCTTTCATAACTTCCAATATTCATCCATTACTCCTTTACCCACTGTAATCTAGGTACCACCCATTATCACCCTACTTAAACTGGACTCTATTCTGTTCCATTGATCTATATGTCTACCTCTTAGGTTATTTTCTTAAACGAAAACTATGGAGAGAAAATAAGAAACTTCCTGATTCTTCTAAATATTTTACAGGGCTGTTACAGGTATTTTTCAGGACTGTTTCTAAGTATCTTTTTATTCACATTATACATGTTCTCCCTGAACAATCTCATCTACTCCCAGTGTTTCAACTGCTTCTTCTATGCTGGTGACTCCTAATATCATTTCCAGCTGAGGTCTTTCACCAGAAGTCCAACCTCTACATGCTAACACCTAATATTTTTCTTTATTTGTGTTAATGACATTCAGTTATCCCACTGCCCAAGTCAGAGTCTGAAGGTCATTCTAGAGCCCCTTTCTCTCCCTTTTCTGCCACATCTAATCAATTACCATGCCCTGTGGTTCCTACTGAATCCGCTTCCTCCCCTCTAGACAATTAACACACTCCTCCTTCCTGGTGTCCTTGCTCCACTGCTCCCTAAGTCTTCTTGCTCACTCGTGAAGGAATGAATTATGTGTAATACAAATCAAACATCATTCTCAACACTCTTCAAAAGCTCCCCTATTATCAGATAAAATCTACACTCCTCAGTTTGATCTCTAGAGGCTTTCCATGATCCGGCCCTGCCTATTTACCCTGTAACATGTCCAACTATTCTCACCCATACATCCTAGGATTCAGCAATTAATGACCTTCTGACATTTTCCAAGTTATCCAGGTTCTCCTGTCATCTAACCTTTCAACATGCTGTTCTTTTTCATTCCAGAAATATCCCAAACTAGGAAATTCCATACTCACTAAACTCCTATTCAACCTTCATGTCTCAGTTCAAACACCACTACCTCTAAAGCACTCTCTGTCTGAAGCCGGCTCCTTAAACGTTAAGTGGGGGAACTACCTACTCATGTAATTGTCAAGAAGGTTAAACCAGAGTGCACGTCAGAACACTTACCAGAGAGCTGGGCACTGTGCCCTTGGGTGCTTTCTGCCCTATGTACCACCTGCAAAATACAACTGCTTGCTTTTTATTCCCACTATCATTATACCATTATTCAAATACCAGCAGGGTCACCCAAGGCAGACAGGTTTCAGCTGAGCTTCCAGACTGAAACAGACTAAAACAAGAACCCGGCGGTCTACTTGTGAAAAGGTTTCTGGTGACAACCCTATGAACAGCAGCAGAACACTGACTGTACAGTGCCCGAGGGTGAGCCCCCAGGCAGGCAGGCACTCCAAACACGCCCAGGGGAGAGCGGCCTCCTCAGAGAAGAGTCAGCCTTAACGACCTGGACTCAAGCTTTCGGGACCTTCAACTGCTGATGGGGCACAATTCAAAATGAGAAGAAATAGCTGTAAACATCAATAACTGGAATGTGGAATGTTATGAAGTATGAACCCAGAAAAATTGGACATCGTCAAAAATGAAACACAACACATAAACATCGACATCCTAGGCATTAGTGGGCTGAAATGGACTGGTACTGGCCATTTTGAATCAGACAATCATATGGTCTACTATGCCGGGAATGACAAATTGAAGAGCAACGGTGTTGCATTCACCATCAAAAAGAACATTTCAAGATCAGTCCTGAAGTGCAATGCTGTCAGTGATAGGATAATGTCCATATGCCTACGAGGAAGACCAGTTAATACAACTATTGTTCAAATTTACACACCAAGCACTAAGGCCAAAGATGAAGAAATTGAAGATTTTTATCAGCTTCTGCAGTATGAAGTTGATCGAACATGCTATCAGGATGCACTGATAATTACTGGTGACTGGAATGTGAAAACTGGAAACAAAGAAGAAGGATCAGTAGTTGGAAAATAGGCCTTAGTGATAAAAACGATGCAAGAGAGAATTCTGCAAGACCAACGACTTCTTCGTCGCAAATACCTTTTTTCAACGACATAAATGGCGACTATACACATGGATCTCATCAGATAGAATACAAAGAAATCAAATCAACTACATCTGTGGAAAGAGATGATGGAAAAGCTCAATATCATCAGAACAAGGTCAGGGGCTGACTGTGTAACAGACCATCAACTGCTCATATGCAAGTTCAAGTTGAAGCTGAAGAAAATTAGAGCAAGTCCACAAGAGCCAACGTACGACCTTGAGTATATTGCACCTGAAGTTAGAGACCATCTCAAGAATAGATTTGACATGCTGAATACTAATGATCAAAGATTAGATGAGTTGTGGAATGGCATCAAGGACATCATACATGAAGAAACCAAGAGGTCATTAAAAAGACAAGAAAGAAAGAAAAGACCAAAATGGATGTCAGAAGAGACTCTGAAACTTGCTCTTGAACGTCGAGTAACTAAAGCCAAAGGAAGAAATGGTGAAGTAAAAGAGCTGAACAGAAGATTCCAAAAGGCGGCTCGAGAAGACGAAATCAAGCATTATAATGACAAGTGCAAAGACCTGGAGTTAGAAAACCAAAAGGGAAAAGCATGCTCAGCATTTCTCAAGTTGAAAGAACTGAAGAAAAAATCCAAGCCTCGAGTTGCAATATTTAAGGATTCTACGGGCAAAATACTGAACGACGCAGGAAGTATCAAAAGACAACAGAAGGTAAAACATAGAGTCCCTGTACCAAAAAGCATTGGTAGACGTTCAACCGTTTCAGGAGGTAGCATATGAACAAGAACTAATGGTACTGAAGGAAGAAATCCAAGCTGCACTGAAGACCTTGGCAAAAAACAGGGCTCCAGGAGTTGACGGAATACCAACTGCGATGTTTCAACAAACAGATGCAGGGCTGGAAGTGCTCACTCTTATATGCCAAGAAATCTGGAGGACAGCTACCTGGTCAATCAACTGCAAGAGATCCATATTTATGCCTGTTCCAAAGAAAGGGGATCCAACTGAATACAGAAACTATCGAACAATATCATTAATATCACATGCAAGTAAAATTTTGCTGAAGATCATTCAAAAGTGGCTGCAGCAGTATCCCAACAAGGAACCGCCAGAAGTTGAAGCCAGATTCAGAAGAGGACGTAGAACAGGGTATCACTGCTGATGTCAGACGGATCCTGGCTGAAAGCAGAGAATACCAGAAAGATGTTTACCTGTGTTTTATTGACTATGCAAAGGCATTCAACTGTGTGGATCATAACAAATTATGA